GAGATAAAGGACACATGGACAAAGCCAAAGGTGGGTAGGATCGAGGGTAGGAGTCATGGGGGGAATATGGAGACAATTGTACTTGAACAATAAAAAAAAGACAGGGAAAAGTGAGGTGAGGCTTAGGAACCTCTGGGACAACTTTAAACATACCAACATCTGAATCATAGGGGTGACAGAAGGGGAAGAGGAAGAGTAAGAAATTGAAAACTTATTTAAAAAATAATGAAGGGAAACTTCCACAATATGGTGATGGAAATAGGCATGCAATTATAGGAAGGTCGGAGAGATTCAAAGAAATTGGGAGAAATATTATTAGACGAGAGGTGGGAAGATGGTGGTGAGGTAGGTGGGAGCAGGGCCCAGTTCTCCCTGTGCCCAGCTGGAACATCTAGCTGATCTCCTGAGGAAGAGCGAACAACCAACAGAATCACAGCTTATATGAAGTTTGTAGGGCAAAAATTGTAGAGGACATTGAAAAACAGACAGTGAGGTGATAAGGTTCCTGGGATCTGCACAGAGACCAGAGTTGCTGCAGCCCCTACTGCAGGATACAGGGAGGAGAGTTGGAACACCAGCTCCCTCCCCTATGAGACCAGGGAGGGCAGCCTGGCACCAGGAGGGTTCTGGATGCTAGAAGTGGCTGGGGGGAATGGAGACAAAGTGGGAGACACATAGATGCGGTACACATCCACTGGGACTCTGGACACTGGTACCAGATAAACTGGGGTGCCAGGTGACACCTGGAGAAGGGAGGAGTTGGGCTGTGTTGGACCATGACTCAGATAGTCTCTGGACTGGTTGGAAACTTGGGCTGTGTGAAAAGCTGTGCATTTGTTAAGAACTGCGGGCAGCTACTTTTTACTCTCAAGCAGCGGCTGGATTGCCCCAAGGGTGATTTTAGCTGTGCTTGCCCAGATTACGTGGCTGAGCAGAACTGTACACACCACTTGTCTTGCACTGTGTGCCCAGAGGCAGTAGGTGAGCAGAACTGTACACCCCCCTTGTCTCCCACTGTGCACCCAGAGTGAGTGGCTGAGGAGAACTGTATGTCCTATTTGTCTTGGGTGTACACCAGAGACCAACTCACCCTGTGAGCAACTGAGTGGCTGATTTGAGCCTGGCAGCTCACAGAGAACCTGGGCCACAGGCTGGAAAACTGAATATTGCAACCTAGACCTGATCCCCACTCTCTTAAAACCATAGGAAGGGGAAAACGCACAGCCCAGCTCCCCTCTTTCTGTGGCATCTAGGAAGACCAACAGAACTTGCTGAACAGGTTTAAAGTCAGCAGAAGCTTATTATCTTCTTTTTTCCTATTTGGATCCTCTCTTTCCCCTTTTTTTCCTCCCCCCAAGTGAGACAATAAGATATGGAGTTATGAATAGTCCAGAGACATACAAAGGGAGAGCACAAGGCTTACACCAAATATTGAGAAACTGAGACAAAAGTCACTTTGCTATCCCACACATCTGGTATTTTATTGCTTATGTGTATTATTATTTTTTTCATTAGTTTTACCACTTTTATTTTAGCAGTATTTTTTTGGTTGCTCTTCCTTATGTTTACCTTTCCTTGTTTTATTTTTCTTTGTAATTGCATTGTTTGACTGGTTTTCCTTATTCTCTCTTTAATGTATTTTAATTTTCCTTCTTTCTCTTCACTTGTCTTCCAATAACACACTACTCTTGATTGGGTACATTCTATTCTGGTTATCCAAATCACATATTTCCTGTCATATTATTGTTGTTCCAGTACTATTATAAATAATTGTTGCTCCATACAACTGTACATACTACACAGCAACCCTCCATGAACTTAGCCCACTTCACTTTATTCCTGAGCATTGATATTGTTATGGTTAACTCTATTCTCTCTCAGACTACACCTACTTTCTCTCCTTTATTCTCACTATATCTCATCATCTAACTTTGCATAAGAGCTCTGTTTTCTGGATTCAGCTCAAAATCCTCCTCTCTTCTAACAAGAGTCTTATCTGTCCTTCACCTTTTATACAAAGTGGCTAGTTGGGTGAAATATCAAAGTTAATGCTGTCCTTATCCAAAGAATCTCCTGTCTCTTCTCTACATGCTGGTACTTTATATCCTATAAAACACCCTCCCACTGTCTTGATCCATTTTGCCTTCCCCCTGCATCTGATCACATACAAGAATAGGTGGCATCTGCGAACATCAGTATACTTGCTGGAGGAGAAACCCCACCAACAAAGGAACCACCAAAAGGTAAAACCCCAAGTACAAGAGAGCCCACACAAACAGAAGAAAGGGCAAACCTACAGTGTCTAGACAAGGAGATCAAAGAGATCATACCACTGAACCTCATAGAATTCCTACCATACAAATTTACTGTACAAAGACAGGAGAATTCACAACACATTTAAGGAAGAGGTAATCTCTATCTTTCAGAGACTATGCTAAAAAATGCAAGAGGATAGAAGACTCCCAAACTCTTTCTATGAAGCCAGCATCATCCTAATCCCTAAACCAGATAAAGACATAACAAAGAAAGAGAACTTCAGGCCAATTATCGCCGATGAACATACATGCTAAAATCCTCAACAAAATTATGGCAAACTGCCTCTAGCAATACATTAAGTATATCATACACCATGGCCTAGGGGGATTCATCCCAGGGATGCAAGGATAATACAATATTCGCAAATCAATAAACATAATACAGCACATAAACAAAGGCAATAATCACATGATCATATCAATAGATACGGAAAAATCATTTGATAAGGTACAGCATCCATTTATGATAAAAACACTCAGCCAAGTGGGAATAGAGGGAGCATTCCTCAACATAATGAAGGTCATATACAAGAAAACTACAGCCAACACCACACTCAGTGGACAAAAGCTAAAAACTTTCCCACTAAGATAAGGAACAAGACAAGGTTGTCCACTTTCACCACTTCTATTGAACATACTATTAGAAGTCATAGCCACAGCAATCAGACAAGAAGGCATCCAAATTGGAAAACAGGAAACAAAACTGGCATTGTTTGCAGATGACATGATAGTGTGCATAGAAAATCCGATAGACTCCTACAAAACACTGCTTGACCTAATATATAAATTTGGCAAAACAGTGGGATGCAAACTCAATATCCAGAAATCAAAGGCATTTTTGTATTCCAACAATGAAACAGCAGAAGCAGAAATCAGGAAAAAAAAATCCCATTTGATATAGTAACGAGAAAAATAAAGTACCTAGGAATAAACCTAAGCAACTATTGAAAAGACCTGTAATCAGAAAACTACACAAGACTGAAGAAAGAAATTAAGGAAGACAGAAATAGAAACATATACCCTGTTCATGGATTGGAAGAATTCATACCAGCAAAATGTCCACACTCCCCAAAGCAATTTACAGATTCAATGCAATACCTATTAAAGTACCAATGGCATATGTCACAGACATAGAATAAACACTTCAAAAATTTATATGGAACAATAAACAAACCCTAATAACTGCTGCAATTTTGAGAAAGAAGAGCAAAGTAGGAAGGATCACAATACCTGATACCAAACTGTATTACAAGGCCACTGTAATCAAAGCATCCTGGTACTGGCATAAAAACAGACAGATAGATCAATGGAACAGAACAGAGAGCCCAGGAATAAGCCCAATACTCTACGGTCAATTAATATTTGACAAGAGGGGCAGAAGCATAAAATGGAATAAAAATAGCCTCTTCAACAAATGGTGCTGGGAGAGCTGGACAGCTACATGCAAAAAGAAAGGAAACTTGAGTACCAACTTACACCATACACAAAAATAAATTTAACATAAAAATAAATTCAAGGTGAATAAAAGATTTAAATGTAAGTCATGACACCATTGAAGTCCTAGAGGAGAACATAGGCAGGAAAATCTCAGATATTCCATGCAACAAAATTTTCACTGTTATGTTCTCTAGAGCAAGGGATATAAGAAAAGAATAAACAAATAGGATCTCATCAAAATAAAAAGCTTCTGCACAGCTAAAGGAAACATTATTAAAATGAAAAGGGAACCAACCATATGGGAAAAGATATTTGCCAATGATAACTCAGCCAAAGGTTTGATCTCCAAAATATATAAAGAACTCACATGACTCCACTCTAAGAAGACAAAGAACCCAACTAAAGGACTTGGGCAAAGGACTTGAACAGACACTTCTCAAGGAGGATACAGATAGAGCCTGGAGACATACAAAAGGATGTTTAGCATCACTAGCCATTAGTCAGATGCAAATTAAACCACAATGAAATATCACTTCAAACCATTGAGAATGGCCGTCATAAACAAAGCAACAAACAACAAGTGTTGGAGAGGATGTGGAGAAAAGGGGACCCTAGTGCACTCTTGGTGGGATTGCAGACTGGTACAACCACTATGGAAAACAGTATGGAATTTCCTCAGAAAAGTAACAATAGAAATGCCTTTTGACCTGGAAATTCCACAGCTAGGATGATATCCTAAGAATCCTGAAACACTAATCCAAAAGAACCTATGCAGCCCAATGTTCATAGCAGCACAATTTACAATAGCCAAGTGCTAGAATCAACCTAAGTGTCCATCAGTAAATGAATGGATCAAAAAACTATGGTACATTTACACAATGGATTTCTATGCAGCAGAAAGAAAGGAGCTACTAACCTTCATGACAGAATGGATGGATGGGAGTGGAGAACATAATGCTAAGTGCAATAAGCCAGGAGGTGAAAGACAAATACCATATGCTCTCACCTTCAAGTGGAACCTAATCAACAAAACAAGCAAGCAAGCATAATACAACCAGAGAATCTGAAATACAGGACATACTGACAATAACCATAGGGGAGTGAGGAGAGGGATAAGGGGAGAAAGAAGGGGGAAGGTCATCAAGGTACAGGTATAAAGGATCCCTGGGCAAAGCCAAAGGTTGGAAGGATTGAGGGTGGGAGATGGGGGTGGGTATGGGGGGGGTGGGTGGAAGTGGTGGTGGGGAAATGGAGACAATTGTACTTGAACCAAAAAATGCAAAAAATATGTATAAAAATAAAAAAGATATGATGCAAGATGTTCATGTAGTCAATGAACCCAAAAGGCCCTATTCTCTAGTAATACAAAATTAATCTCTAGTAATACAACGTTATGAAAGTAAAAAATAATAATAAAAGCATCTCTTACCTAATACACTTTCAATACAATCCAAACACTTATAAAAGACATAATGTAATTATTTAATCTTCACAATGCTACTAAGAAATATGTGGTGTTATTAATTTATAAATGAGAAAATTTAGATATTGTGAAATAATTTGCCGTATAAGAAGTGAGTTATAATAATAAAGACAAATAAAGACTAAACATTGGTTCAACCTTTCCCCACTCTTATTCGGTTTAGGCTAATTTTAGACAATGAGTTTGCAAATATGAACAAGATTTAGGAAGGACAAAGTAATCTGCTATAATTTTAATATTAACATAGCCTTCAAGTATGAATTATCAGATAAGTAACTTTATAGCTAAAGAAATTGGTGTCCCATATATATGCTATTTATGTTATACATCCTCTAATCTCTCTTAAGGGCTAATGATCCTGATATTGAGAAAAGTTTGAATGATTAATGACTCTTAACACATTTGCTACCATCCTAAGTTTTCCCACTTTCCTTGCATTCATAGAGTTTTTTTACCAATTGATCTCTGTTAGCAAAGGGATTCTGAAACACAAATAAACCCTCCCAATTCCTAACATTCTGGCCCTTAAACACTTTACATTAACAGTACAAACTCTTGACATTAAGCTGTTATCCTTAAATACTTCCCCACATTCCTTATAATTGTAGGGGTTTGTTTGTTTCTGTTTTACTAGTAAGAATTTCAGATGTCAATTAAATTCTGAATGTTCACATATCTTCATTCATTCCTCTGTCCTGCATGAATTTTTTGATGTTGACTAAGGTGTGAGCCACGAATAAAGGCTTTTCCACAATGCTTACATTCATAAGGTTTCTCACCAGTGTGAATTTTCTGGTGTCGACTAAGTTCTGAGCCACGACCAAAGGCCTTTCCACATTCCTTACACTCATACGGTTTTTCACCATTATGAGTTCTCTCATGATGAGTAAGTTCTAACCTTCGAATAAAAGATTTTTTACATTCCTTACATTTATGGGGTCTCTCACCAGTGTGAATTTTTTGATGTCGAATAAGTTCTGTGCTACAAGTGAAGGTCATTTCACATTCCCTACATTTATAGGGTTTCTCACCAGTGTGAGCTCTTTGATGTCGAGTAAGTTCTGAGCCACGACGAAAGGACTTCTCACATTCCTTACATTTGTATGGTTTATCACCAGTATGAACACTCTGATGTCGAATAAGATGTGAATAAGAGATAAAAGCTTTCCCACATTCCTTACATTTATGAGGTTTCTCACCAGTATGAATTCTTTGATGTAGACTCAGTTGTGAGGCACAGCTATATACCTTTCTACATTCCTTACATTCATAGCGTCTTTCACCAGTATGAATTATTTGATGAAGACTAAGTTGTGTGTCATAACGAAAAGCTTTACCACATTCTTTGCATTTATGGGGTTTCTCACCAGTGTGGATCCTCTGATGTCGGAAAAGGTGTGAGGGACGGGTGAAAGCTTTTCCACATTCCTTACATTCATAGTACCTCTCACCTGTATGAATTCTCTGATGTAAATTAAGTTGTGAAGTAGTTGGAAAGGCCTTCTCACACTCCTTACATTCATAGGGTTTCTCACCAATATGAATCCTTTGATGTTTAATAAGCTGTGAGCTAGAAGGAAAGGTTTTCCCACATTCTTTACATTTAAGAACCTTCTCACCAGTATTAATGCTCTGAGGTTCAGTAATTTCAGAATCATGTATAAAGGCATGCTTATTACTTTCATTACTTTCCTTTCTTTCATGAATTCTCTGACACTTATTCAAGTCTGAGCTACTATTTAAGGCTTTTCCACATTCTCTCCATTGAGAGTCTTTTTCCTTATTATGACTGCTTTCATGTTGAATGTGGTCTGATTGGTACCTGAAAATTTCCTTACATTCCTTGTATTCACATGACTTCCTTCCAGTATGAATTATCTGAGGTACTCTATAAACTGTGCTTTGAATGAAAGCAGACATTTCTTCAGAGGTTATTAGAGCTGGTTTGAAATGTCCATCCTGTTGTGTCTCCAGATAGCATTTGATTTCACTATTATCTCTGACCCCAACACACACAAGGTTAGACCTTATAGGTGTTTTTATCTCTGGTTGCAATGATTTAATTTCACAACAGCCCTCCTTTGGAGATAAATTCCTGGTTTCTCTTCTGGATTCCCAATCTGTAAGAAAACAAGAAAGAAATAGGGAGGTATTTTCTTTCATGTTTGAGGAAAAAGAAAAGTTCTTGGGTAAAAATGACAAACTAAAAATAGGAAATAAATAGCTCTTAACATTGCACTACAATTTGAAAAAGGAGGGCAGAGGGAAAATAAGGATAGAGAAAATGGGGAGAACTTATAAAGGAAGTGGTTATTAACCTCTGGTAAGAATCAGAATGGTGGGGAACTTATACAAATATAATGTCCAGGAACCACCTAAAACTAATTAAACAACAATGTAAAGAAATAGGATATTACAATAACAGCAAGTCCGCTCATCTATAGACTCAAAATATATCTAGATTATAATTACTTGTCTTTAACAGTATAGCTAGCACTTGTCCAAAGCCATCCTATATCAAGATTAATACACTATTCTAAATGAGTCTCTTTACTTGCACTGTTGCCTTCCTAATATCCCATACCCAGCATAATAGCTAGGGTGTCCTTGTTAAAATAAGTCAGATCATCAAAGAGAGAATATTAAAAGCAGCAAGGGAGAAAGAGATAGTGACATACAAGGGAGCTGCAATAAGGCTAGCAGCTGATTTCTCAAAAGAAACACTATAAGCCAGTAGGGAATGGTAAGACATAGTCCAACTAATGCAAAGCAAAGGCCTGCAACCAAGACTACTCTACCTAGCAAGGCTGTCATTTAAAATGGAAGGCAAAATAAGGAATTTCCCAGACAAAAGATGGCTAAAAAAATACACCTCCACCAAACCAGCTTTGCAAGGCTTGCTAAAGGGAATGCTTTAAGAAGATGAAGGTATAGAGAGAGAGAGGGGAACACAGGTACAAAAGGAAAAAATGGCTTAGGATCCATACCTGTCAATAGTAACCTTAAATGTAAACAGATTAAACGCTCCAATCAAAAGACATACTGTAGCTCAATGGATAAGAAAACATGACCCACATATATACTGTCCACAAGAGACCCACCTCAGAACAAAAGACCTACACAGACTGAAAGTGAAGGGCTGGTAAAAAATATTCCAAGCAAATGGACAGGAAAAAAAAGCAGGGGTCGTAATACATATACCAGACAATGTAGATTTCAAAATTAAGGTCATAAAAGGACGCAAAGAAGATCATTTCATACTTCTAAAGGGAAAAATGCCTTAGGAAGCTATAAACATTGCAAACGTATACGCACCCAACATAGGAGCACCCAAATATATAAGGAAAATCTTCGAGGACTTCAAGAAAGATATAAACAGCAACACAATTATAGTAGGACATTTTTACACTCCACTGTCAACAATGGATGGATCTTCCAAACAAACAATCAACAGAAACATAGCAGCACTGAACAACACACTAGGCTAAATGGGCATAACTGATATAGACTCTTCCACCCCCCAAAAGCAAAACATACCTTCTTTTCAAATGGACATGATACGATACAAAAAAAGCATGAACAAATTCAAGATAATTGAAGTCATGTCAAGCATTTTCTTTGATCACAATGGCCTGACTAGAAAGCAACCTATATGGAAAAATTCAAAAACATTCAAATACATGGAGATTGAATAAAATGTTATTAAACAGTGAATGGGTAAACTATGAAATTAAGGAAGAAATAAAAAACCTTCTGGAAACAAATGGAAAATGAATACACAACAACCCAAAACGTAGAGGACACAGTGAAGTCAGTTCTGGGAGGGAAGTTCATAGCAACATAGGCTTACCTAAAAAGATGGAAACGTTTCAAATAAACAACCTAAACTTGTACCTACAAGAACTGGAGGAACAACAACAAACAAAGCCCAGAGCAAGCAGAAGGAAGGAAATAACCAAGATCAGAGCAGATTTAAATGATATAGAAACTTAAAAGAATAATTCAAAGAATCAATAAACCCAGTTACTGGTTCTTTGAAAAGATAAAACCTGCAGGCTCTGCCTGCAGAGCTCCCCTGGGTGGTCACGGATGAAATAAAAATACCCAATGTGTGATCTGCTTGAGGAGGAAAGGTGACAGGGGTCCCTCAAAGGAGAAAGGTCCTGAATACCTTCTTCCCTGTGTATTTATTGAGTTCAGCTCACACAGAGATACACAGTATGCACATAAAGCTCATCAACCAATGATCGAAATGCTATTGACATCATTTACAGATGATAGTTGAAGAAACACAGGGATTATCTCTGGTCATGGTTGGCTTTAGCTCAAGTGTCTGTTTCATAGCAACAGGACAGAGCAAGTCTCAAAGGAAACAATGTATATTCTTTCTCTGGCCAGATTCACCCCCCTCCCCTCCGCCGGAGTATCTGTTCCGGAGTATCTGTTCCAGTACAAGGTCGCAGCTGCCTCTGGCATAGTTCCCAGGCTGTCAGGAGGGGACAGCAAAGCAGCTAAGATACTAGAAGTTTTTACAGGAAGAGTGAGGACTCAGGCTATAAGAAAGCCAAGGGGTGAGGGTCTTTCTGCCCCTTCTCTGAAGACCCCTAAGTCCTTCCCTGATAAACCATTGCAATTGAGCCTGTCTTAGGTTGCACCCACCTGGGGGTCTTACCTGTCATTGGTTAACCAGTCATCCACCCAGGCCAAGCAGGGGGAAGTGAGGGAGGCGAGGGCTGCACTCCTGCCAGGAGGAAATGTTATATCTCCTTAATGGCTCATGTCCCCAAGGCTTTTTCACTCAGCTCTAGCCATGGGACCCTTAACGTCCATTAATGAGGCTACAGACCCTGCAATAAGGCAGGACAGCTCCCAAAGGATAAGCCTTCAATCAGACTCATCAAGAAGAAAAGGAAGAGGATGCAAATGAAATTAGAAATAAAAGAGAAGAAATTACAACTGAGATCACAGAAATACAAAGGAGTGTAAGAAATTAAAATAAACAACCATATGCCAAGAAATCTAAAAACAAGGGTGAAATGGACAAATTTCTAGAAAAATCTAATCTTCCAAAATTGAATGAAGAAGAAGCACAAAGCCTAAACAGACTGGTAACAGCTGGTGAAATTGAAGCAGTAATCAAAAAATTCCCAACATACAAAAGACTGAGACTGGACAGTTTCACAGGAGAATTTTACACAACATTTAAGGAAGGGCTAACTCTTATTCTTCCCAAACTATTCAAAAATCCAAGAAGAGGGAGGACTCCCAAACTCTTTTTATGAGGCCAGCATCATCCTAATCCCAAAACCAGATAAAGACACAACAAAGAAAGAAAACTACAGGCCAATATCACTGATAAACAAAGACACTAAAATCCTCAACAAAATATTGTCAAATCACATCCAGCAATACATTAAAAAGATCATAAATCATAATTGTGGGATTTATCCCAGGGAAGCAAGAATGGTACAATATTTGCAAATCAATAAACATAATACATCACATAAACAAAACAAAAGACAAAAATAACATGATCATATTAATAAATGTGGAAAAAGTATTTGATAAGGTACAGCACCCATCTGTGATAAAAACACTCAGCAAAGTGGGAGTAGAGAGAGCATACTTCAACATAAAAAAGGCCATATATGAAAAACTGATAGCCAACATCATACTCAACGGGCAAAACTTAAAAGCTTTCTTACCAAGATCAGGAACAAGACAAGGATGCCCGCTGTCACCACTTCTATTCAACATAGTAATGAAAACCCTAGGCATAGTGATCCAACAAGGAAAAGAAATAAAAGGCATCCAAATTGGAAAGGAGGAAGCAAAACTGCCATTGTTTGCAGATGACATAGTAGTGTACATATAAAACCCTAGAGAGTCTACCAAAAAACTACTCAACCTAATAAGTGAATTTGGCAAAGCAGTGGGATACAAAGTCAATATTCAGAAATCAAGAGCCTTTTTATACACAAACAATGAAATACCAGAAACAGCTATCAGGAAAAAATACCATTTGCTATAGCAACAAGAAAAATAAAGTACCTAGGAATAGACTTAACCCAGGAGGTAAAAGACCTGTACTCAGAAAAGTACACAATACTGAAGAAAGAAATTAAGGTAGATACAAATAAATGGAAACATGTACTATGTTTGTGGATTGGAAGAATCGATATCATCAAAATGTCCATACTAACCAAAGGAATTTAAAGATTTAATGCAATCCCTATTAAAATACCAATGACATATTTCACAGATATGGAACAAACACTTCAAAAATTTATATGGAACCATAAATGACCCTGAATAGCTACAGCAATTTTGAGAAAGAAGAACAAAGTAGGAGGGATCACGATACCTGACATCCAACTATATTAAAAGCCCACTGTGATCAAAACAGTCTGGTACTGGCATAGGAACAGACTCATAGATCAGTGGAACAGAATAGAGAGCCAAGAAATAAACCCATGTCTCTATGGTCAATTAATATTCAACAATGGGGGCAAAGGCATAAAATGGAGTAAAAATAGCATTTTTAAGAAATGGTGTTGGGAGATCTGGACAGCTACAGTCAAAAAAATAAAACTCAACGACCAACTTATACCATGTAAAAAAGTAAACTCAAAATAGAGAAAGACTTAAATATAAGTCGGGACACCATAAAAGCCCTAGAGGAGAACACAGGCAGGAAAATCTCAGAAATTCCATGCAGCAAATTTTCACCAATATGTTCCCTACAGCAAGGACATAAAGAAAAGAACAAATGGGACTTCATCGAAATAAGAAGCTTCTGCACAGCTAAAGGAAACATAAGCAAAATGAAAGGGGAACTAACCGTATGTGAAAATGTTTGCCAATGATACCTCGTACAAGTGTTTGAAAACTCACATGACTCCAGTCCAGGTGACGTACAATCCAATTAAAAAACGGGCCAAGGATTTGAACAGACACTTCACCATGGAAGACATACAGAGGGCCCAGAAATATAGGAAAAGATCCTCAGCGTCACTACCCATAAGAAAGATGCAAATTAAAACCACAATGAGATACCACTTTACACAGGTCAGAATAGCCATACTAAACAACTCATCAAACAACAAGTGCTAGCTAGGTT